TGCCACAGCTGTGGGCATTACTCATGGGATCAACATTCTATTACCAAGGCTAATATTCGATCTGAGCCTATAGCATTGCCTGTACCTTTTTGATACATATCATTTAGACTGGAATTTCCAAAGTAAAGCTTCCGGAAAAGATGAAAGGTCACTTAACCAGTTCCCACCTTGATTTTGTCAAAGCCTAAACTGAAGTGGAAGTTGAGAACACAATGTTTGTCTTTGGGAAAAAGTGTTAAATTAACAGCTAAAGGAGAAAAGTGACATAAATCATCTAGAGGGGTCATTTTTTTTTTAAAATGCGTATACTTGGATAATTGTCTGGATTTATTTTTTTCTAAACTGTCTCACTTTGATGGGCACAATCCCAACCAAGGTTGTTTTGATATTTATATAGAGTCATTGTGCTCTCAAAAATCTCATTAAAGAACCAATGGCTTTATCTATACAAACAACTACAGAGAAGTGCCAAAAAAATGTATACAGGTTTGAAGAGGTGTTATCTGTGTATTACTTTTCAACGTTGAATTAAATTACAGTAGTGATGCGCAATATGACGTTCGCATGGCCGTGTTTCCACCATTATCTTTGACTGTCCTGCCTGTCACATGGTGACACTAGCAATCATGTGATTAACACCATTTTTTGAGTGAACATCATACTTAAAATGTGTGTAAATTTTTTGACACCCCCGTATCTTTTTTTTTTTTCCTTCAGTTGGAGTCTCTGTTGCCCAAGCTGAAGTGCGGTGGCATGCTCACTGCCACTGCAGCCTCAATCTGCTGGGCTCAGGTGATCCTCCTGCCTCAGCCTTCCAAATAGCTGGAACTACAGGCATGTGCCACCACGCCCAGCTAATTTTTTTGATTTGTTGTAGAGATGAGGTCTTGCCAAGTTGTCTGGGCTGATATCGAACTTGTGAGCTCAGGCAAATCCTCTCACCTTGGCCTCCCAAAGTGCTGGGATTATAGGCGTGAGCCACCACACCTGGCCTTGGCATCTCCTGTATCTTTATTCCAATTTTTCAGCTTACGAAACAGCCCAGGTAACTAATTGATGAAAGGCTTTGAGTTATTTCTTCAGATATTTTTGTTTTAGAAATGCATTGTTGTAAACTAGAGTTTAATGTTAATATGATTGACTCCTACATTAGCAAATCAAGGAAGAGGCTTACATATTAAAAATTGCAGTGCTTTCAGTGATAGCTGTTCCTCTTGATGTGTCTCCATAAAGGTTTGTTTTGTTTTTGAGTTGGAGTCTCTTGCCTAGGCTGGAGTGCAGTGGCACAGTACTGGCTCACCTTAGCCTCCACCTCCTGGGCTCAGGCAGTACTCCTGCCTCAGCCTCACAAGTAACTGGGACTACAGGCACACGCCACCCTGCCTGGCACATTTTTTGATTTTTTGTATAGATGAGAACTTGCTGTGTTGTTTGTGCTGGTCTCGAACTCCTGAGCTCAAGCAATCTTCTCACATTGGCTCTTCAAAGTGCTGGAATTACAGGCTGCACCCAGCCCCTCTGTGTACGTTTTGAAGAATTCTGTGGTGTACTCTGGCTGCTGTTGGGACTCCTTCTGATACATTTTTATTGTCTAAAGTGGTGAGTCATATTACTAATAATGGTGGTAGTAGTAGTAGTGAAGCTGTAGTAGCAAAATTAAATTCTTGATTGAGCAGTTATTGAATGCCAGATCCTGTTTTTTTTTTTTTTTTTTTGTTGGAGTCTCACTCT